ACACATGATCAATGAACATCTACACCTGAATAGTACAAAGCATTCACAATTACTTAAAACAATGAAAACATTAAAGGGTATTTAATACTTTGAGGTCATTTTAACGTATAAAACTGACTTGTAAAGATGTTTGTATCCTTCTCAAACCGGGATTCAAGCAGAACTCAGGTTAAGACCATGACAAATGATAAGAAAACAGTACTGAATAGCTACAGAATTATACTAGAGATTGCTTTTCACAATCGACGTAAAGTAAATATTTTTATACTACTGTAACAATAGTTCTTATTTTAGAAGTGCCGAAACTTGACAATTGTCGTATGTCAATTATTTTTCAAAAGATTTTTATAGGATATATACATGTATATATTGAAATCAGATCACCTGGTATACTATTTATACTTACAGCACAAAGACATAAAAATACACATTCGTTCATAGTTAAAATTATCTCAAAATTAATTAAAAATTGTTTGAATCTATAAGGACAAATATCAAATTTTGATCATTTTAGATATTTATTAATGAAAATAACTAGAAAGTTAATCAAAACCGATATTATTCAATATTAAAAGATGATTTTTTCCTTTTTTATTTAGCATGTGTTTAGTGATTTTTTTATCAAAATAATTGTAACTTAAGAATATGAGTGTTAACATTTGTCATGAGAGTAGCAGTATATAATATATAATAATAATAAATTATTCAAAGGCAAGATATATTGCTTTCGCTTCAAAACATATATGGTACTTTCACGACTGCATATACTAAAACGAGATAAAAATTGTATCTTTGAAACAATGGTGTAAAACCGGCTTTTTCTTCCAAATGTGTATATCTTTTATTACCTTTGGTTATGTTATACCTGACATAATTCTATAATACGGTACATTGTAACATGACGTAAACTTAGAATCCCAAAACTGCATTGGATTGAAAAGCCAGATACTTAACCAAACACGGGTATGAATGTTTCATATCTTTATTCATTTAAACATCCATTATTTCCCTTGTATTTTTAAGTATATAAATGTTTCCTTTGTGAAATGTAAACAAATGACAAATGCGTGAAAAGTAATAAATCGTTAAACGGCAAGAATAAAACAATATATCTACAGATATCTGTATATAATATGAAAATTAAAACCAAATACATCAAATGTTTATGTTGTAATAGGGCAAAATATCCTTAAAGTTCTTTCGTAAGAATTTGATGACATATTTGATGTATCATCATTCATTTAATTTATACGTCATTGAAATTGTATACATTGAAAAAACTGTTTTATAGACTATTACTAGATACAAGAAATGGAAATCAAATCACGTTTAAAAAGTGTAATGTGCCTTTATCATATATAAGTTATTTTTATTTAATGCGTATGCGTATGCAAGGAAGTATTGTTTATATAGACATTTAAAATTCATAAAAAAGATATTATACGATTAAAAAAATGATCATGAATCTGATACTCAAATGAAGAGTTATCAATATTGTAAGTTTAAAAAAGATATAACCGAATTTAACATTTCATGTAAATAAGGGGAGGTAATTAGAAATTCATTTTCGATAGAGTCTAAGCTAGTTTTTACGATCAAAACTGAATGCATTAACTGTAACTTTTAATTATACGTATATCAACATTTGCTGTACATATTTAACTCATACTTGGATGTCTTGAGAATAATTATACACTTAGAACATCTAGTTTCTTTGTGTCCTCGCCCTCAAAAGTTGAAAGCGAAGACAGATAAGTTAGCATATTATCGCGACTCCGTGTCTTCGAAATTTGAGGGGCAAAGACACAAACACAGGAAAAGACAGAAATCAGCCACCATAGATTCCAGTATAGATATCTACCCATAATGCTATAATGCTGTGGGAATATTATTAATATACACCAAGCAATTTTCATCAGATTCTAATATCTTGCTGTAGCCAGAAACTAGAAATTATTTGGAAAGTTGACTACGCTGTATGGCTCATGTAAACTGTCAATGTGTACAGTAATACACAATGTGCAATCATCAAGACAAATACAATCTATAGCATGTTAATTATACATTCTTACCGTCTTACAATGTTGTGTATATCAACGATCAAGTTATTTCCTTTTTTAACTAAGCCTAAAAAACAATGCGGTCGAAGTAAAGAGATAAATAATGAAAATGTGTTCTAAAATGTAACATTCATCTGAAGAAATTGATTGAAGTTATAGTAAATGTTATATTAAAATGATTATATTTGATTTGACAGAATAACTAGCTGACTGTTCATCTGTTCATGTGAAAAGTTAAAGGCGAAGAAGAAGGAGGGAGGAGGGGTAAACTCACATCTATTGGCTGTAATATCCTGTCCTAAAGGTCCTAAAGCGCATGCTAGTTTGATTATTGTACCTGGTAAAGCGATGGTCCTCACTTTATCAAAGTTAAATCTGGTGTCATCATATCATCATTTGAATAACTGATCACATGTATGCTGGAAAACTTGTCGTCTGTAAAATTGTCGTCTACGTCTTGTTTTAGATTTTATCCAATATTCCCAAGATTAAAATTTATAATTTTAAAGCGATAAAATCATATCGTCTCTGTAGTTGTATGGTCGATTATCGAAAGAGTTGTGACTTAGAATGTTTATGTTATAAACACACATGTATACTCTACGTAAACAGAATAAAATGTTCTTTAGGCTGCTTTGCTGCAAATTTCATAAATTTCGAAACGTTCATCATCTTAAAATGTAAAGATCATGATATTGAAAATAAGCGTATAGTAATCTAAGGAAATGCTTGTAATGCATTTCTGACCGTTTTCACGTTTGTAATATATCTTCGTTTTCTTTAGGCTGTAAAACTGCTAGGCTGCCAACTTCAGGCTGCTAGGCTCATAAATGGTGCTTGTCCAGAGAAAAACTTCTAAACTATCAATGCTATTGTGTTCACTTAACATTTATAAAGACTGTTACATTACAATTTTCTTTGTTTTTGGACGATCTCCCGTTATGATGTCCAGTGAATGACTTGAAAAAGTATTGAAGGAATTTTATGTGATGAATTCCAATGAGAGGTAGTGCACTGTCAAAGAACCATACTTTTACTTTGCTTTATTTTTTAATTATCTCCCTTTATGATGATTAAAATATTAAATAATGCGTGTTCGTTGTGTAACTTATAAGCTATCAATGATATCTCATTGAAAATTTACACTGTTATAGAGAAGAAATCCAATATTGAATAACCATAACGCTAAATACCTTATTTTTATTGTATCCCGTTATGACACATATGTCTGGACTATAACTTGAAAATTATTGAAATTTTATTTACTCATTACACAACTATATATACCAGAGAGAAGTGTAATGTGTACCTTGCATGGATTTTGAGTTTCCCATTATAATACTTTTGCTTACAATGAATAGCCTCTGTTCATTGACCGATGTCTTTTATATTTGGTAGAAACATACCTTGGGTAAGGTCACTTGTGTCGTGGTTAAAAAATGTGTTTATACAGCGTTCGTTTACTTACAATTTATGTCTTTCATATTCAGTAGATAGATACTTTGGGTGTTCTACTAAGGTAGGTTAGTTGGGTCAAGATCAAGGCCACTGATGCTTAAAATATATTATTATTTGTTTATACAGCTTTTGTTTATTTACTATTAATAGTATGCATATTTACTATGGAAGATACTTTGGGTTGTCCTCTAACTTGGAGTGAAATAATTGAACAAGCCGACACTAAAGTCAAGGTCACCAGTGCAAATTTTATTTTTATATTTATGCTTATACAGCCCTTGTTTTTGACTCATGTCTTTCTTATTTAGTAGGTAAGTATCTTCGTTGGTACAATAACTTTGAGTGGGGGGAAATGGTCACTTGGTGAAGGTCAAGGGTACGAGATTGAATAGAATAGATGTTTACACTTTTAGCCCATGCGGCCTTTATTTAGAGACTGATGTTTTCTGGCGCTAAAAAAATTACAGTTGGCTCTTACAGCATTTATGAACTTATGTGCATTGAATACATTAAAACATGTACAGGGTGAGAATCTGACCTTCCTTGGTAAAAAGTGTTATCATTATAACATTTGACGAGGAAAAGAGCTTAACCAACATTAAACGTAAATCGCTATGAACTTTAAAGGGCATGATGTAATCAGCCTCGTCTCTTTAACATATATACCCAGATGCAGATAAGTAGGTTATTATTTTTAATCTAAACTAATTTCGTATCATAGTTGCATACCATCAAGAAAATTGGCATCTAATAAAATCACATGAAAACTGTTAAATCGGTACTTTATGATAGTCAGTCATCCGGAGTTTGACGGAAATGACCGAGCAGGTTTTGATTGAAAATGTGTTATGAACTTGGTGAATACATGCACTAGGTATTTTAGAAAATAACATCTCCAATATAGTAGATATGTTCCTTATACAAATGATCTGTACTTAACGCATCAATTTATGACAATCGTTATTAAAGTTATTGTTTACTGTATAATTTTATAGGTATTGTCAGCTATAGCATAATATAAAAATACAGTCAAACTAATGCAGTCGGACCAATAATTTGGAAAACGGAAACGAAGTGGTCAATTATGATTTCTTTTTTGCAAATTTTATACCTCCAATGGGAAAATAAAGTTATGTACATATATATTCTATTCGTATGCACAAGTGGTATTAAAACATTGTTAAAACCGCTCTTATTGGTATTTGTAAATTTTTAAAAAATATATTTGTTTTAAGTTTGCTCAGAATATATTCTCTGAAAGGAAAGTCAAATAACGCGCTTGTATCTTACGATTGAACATTTCAAACATAAGCTATTTCAAATATTTCTTTAAATAAAAACACTCACACAAAAGAAAAGACAACACACAACTTTTTCCTATTTAAGATCTACTTTTATTTTTACATAGTTTTTGCTTCAATCAAGCAGGGTCTTTCAAAAAAAATGTATCTATCATTATTTTTCTATTTTGAAAGACCCTGAATCAAGATTTCAAATCAGTCATCTAATTTTCAGAGTTGGTTACAAAGGTTACAAGGGCAAAATCGTCAGTTTGTACACAATGCTGACAAAGGTTTCTGGGCAACATTGGTAGTGAATGACCTCCTTTTCAGCCACAAAGCTGGTCACATTCCAGCGTGGGTTGTCGTTATTCATAATCTCTGGCTCATAGTACTTTTCTAGGTTCAAAACTAAACCTGACCTGGTCCATGAGCCGAATCTAAGCATGCACGTGATTTCCGCCTTTGCTGCTATGTCACCATTGTTGAAGGCGCAATAGGATTTTGTAATCTTTGGAATAATGAAGGAAATATTTCCGTCATGCTGAACCAATGCGTTTAAATCACCAGGCGGAAATCCCTTGTATTCTTCCGCACTGAAATGAGTTTGGAGGCTTTTTTCATTCTGATCGTGAAATGACTACATGTACATATGTTTCAAAGGCAAATTATGTCTAGGGTTTTGAATGTTTTATAAAGGGCAAACGTGTGTTGAGTAATATTTTAATAATAGATTTTAAACATATTACATGCTTATCATTGCATAATGTGAAATAATTTGTCATAAAAAGTAGCAAAACGTAAACCAAGTTGTATTCTTACGTCCCTACAATATATTGAATCTCTATATGAAACGCCAAAGGTATAAGCTAGGTGGTCGATGAGTACTTTTTAATATTCCAAAAAAAAAAAATTAAAAAATTCTGAAATAAAAATGATAGCAATTTTGGTTCTTAAAAGACCTTAAAAGACCTTTCATATTTTTGCCAACAAGTAAAGTATTACTTAATAGAAATATAAATTTTAATAACACTCTCTCTGAACAATTCAAAATAACAAAATCCTATAAAAAGGTTAAGAAATCTACAGTAAAAAATCAAAAAAATCAAATTGCTTTCAGCACACAAAATTTATATATTCGGTTCCTAACTCCTTACTTTATCTAGGACAAAATCGGAGAAAAGTACAAATGTAACTAACATTACCGGCGCGATAAGCGGTCCTATGTTGGCGAACAATTGACAGCTGGTCAATCGGAAAGCTAAGCCTTTAAATGAAATTGTCATATAAAGTATATTTGTACTTTTCGTAACATCATGTTAATTTAAATTTGAAAGGAATATTGAAATTTTAGCCAGCTGGCTTACTACGATCAAAGCGCGGCCGAAAGGGTGACCAAGCATGACAAATCGCAGGAGAAACGTGGTGGAGTCTTCATAAGTGAAGTATGAGCGCGGTCAGATCTTCATAATCGCCGAGGTAAATTCGAACATGCTCAAAACAAGCGCAGCGGTATCGTGGCCAAAAGTCTTAAAATAGCGTAGAAGATGCGCCGTAATCTTACGAGCAGCACATTATCATTAAAAGCGTAGTTCAATCGGGAACAAATCGAGTAAGCTTCTGTCAATGTTCATTGCACATCAAAATGATGATAATGTATTAATTTTATACTTATTTTTGTAACAGATGACGGCGAAATTGATCCCAACAACCCCTGAAGAGACCATGACATCCGACTCTGCTGAAGCCCCAGCTGATATCTCTGGTACAGGCGCTTACTCCATAGAACACCTAGGTAATTCCACTACAACGGTATCCGCTTCGACATGTGTCTCCAAACGTATTCAAGAGCCTCCCCAACTCAAAACAGGTCCTCTGATGATGACATCATGGTAGACCTGGCAAGTAGTCAGGAACAGCTTACTAACGTGGAGCGACAATTGCTGGGTCGCATCAAGAATAGAACAGATCCGAATGAGCGTGATGCCTTCCTGACCTGGATTATGCAAGCCGTGGCAGGGCACAATAAGACTCGTTTGCGCCGCTTCCAGACTGACGTAAAACAAATGGTTTGCCGCTAAACTGACATTCAGTCTACCCTAGACCTGACCTTTCCTAAAACAAGACAGTGATCCATAATCCATACAATGGCAGCGTAAACCTAACAACGCCCATCCCAAATCGCCAAAAACAACGTCTGTGGGGATCTCAGGAACATTCACGTGTGCATCATGAGCAGCAGCAAGACAAGCAGAAGTGTACCCTTTCCATTAGTAGACTAATCAAGAGGGACCAAATATTGTGTTTGCAGGTCTAAGCTCACTGTTAGATATGAGTGACGGACAACATGGACTCCAGCAGGAGTAAACGCTGATCAATACAATACATAGACAATGCAAAGACCCACACAGCTCTAGCGGTATCATTTTATTTTTGCAGCAGTCAAACTTCTTATAGCCATTTTGTCAGACATGCACATGAAAAAAAGTAGTTCAATTTGTTTTTTTTTAAACCAGATCAATTAGATCTTTGATTCACGTTTATACGTACAAAATTTGCATAAACTTAAGTTTAAAACGTATCAATACTTTTACTTGTGTTAACTCGATTGTATTACTGTTTGGCTTTCAATCAAAATTTAATTGTTATGTCTGTCTGTGTATGTGTATGTCTGTCTGTCTTGTCTAGTTCTGTATGTGTGTGTGCATTAAGAACGAGAGTTTTGGTTCTTGTTATAAAAAATATCGTTGTCACGAGGAAGTGGATCTTGGGTTGGAAATCCAATTGATCTGTCTTCGAGGCACTGTTTCAGTTCAGATCCGTTAAAAATTTGAGCATCAGACATAGGAACAATACCTCTGCAGTAAATCCATATTAATTGTTATTAATTGTAAAGAGAGCCACTGAGATGTGGGACATCCAATCTGTTCTTGAACTTGAACTTAGTGACTCTGAATATATACATGAGAATAGGGTACCTGTCTCCTGAAGCGAGATGTCTGATAGAAATGGCAACTCTCTAGAGCTGCTCATCGGATATTCCTAGTTCCATCTGTAAAAAGTTGAAGAAAGAATTCGTGTCTTTCATTTTGAGTTCTTGCATCAGTGTGTCATAGTGTCCAAAATATAGCCTCCTATCTGCAGATAACCATGGCTGCACGTATGTTTTCTTGTACGCCTCCGCCTGTTCACGATCTGTGCAATTTCAATGTCAACCAAGATAAGTTTTTGCTGAAGTAACGACAGATGTATTAGATCAGCATTAATAAGTGCATTCATGTTTGAAGTTTGGAAAGAACTAAAAAATAATGATTGAAACTTAAGATAATATACACCATCGTCAAAATCGTACTAGAAGCATACTATAAGCGTGATATTATCGGCACCATCGCAGCGATATCGTCGTACAGTCTTCTTGATCTATCTAGAGTCGTATTATGAATGTGCATGTCGTAGCTGTAACGTAAGATAAACGAAATTATAGTGACAACTAGTCGGCAACGGTCTGCGAAATATCGTAGTAAAAGCGTGTCAGCAGAGAGTTGGACGTGGGGGCATTGTAATATTGTCGTTATGAAAATCAAAAATAAAGATCAACAAGGCAAAGGCATGAAGACCAATTTATGATTTGACAATATGCTCGATTTTGACGTCGATCGGCCCCGATCTTCCCTGGTCCAGTACTTTTTCAGATCGTGGCAGTCGCAGCATTGTGTGAACGCGTACTACTCTGTCTACACCGTTTTACGAACAAACAGATGCACTTTCACAACGATAATCAAAACAAAATCGTGGCACGTGACAAGAATCTATAGCGCAGGGTCTATAGATTTCATTTTTTTATTCACCTGAACTACACTAATGTCATTTATTTTACCTGAAGTACAGTAAAATGTCCGGTTGCCATAGTAACCTGCTAGGGACGGACACTTCCTTGACCCCAAACATGGCGGGGGACCATTGTAATCGTGGGTTTTGCCAATGCATTGATTCCCATAAGTTCAACACTAAAACGTTGTTTTCCTAAAAGTTTAACAAAATAAATACAGTATAATATCTGCAAAGCGGCCTCTGTAATCAATTACATCTTTACAATGGCATGAATAAAGTACACGTAGTCCTCACACAGTGCGAGGGGTGGCAAAATCTACATTAATGAAGAAAATAACGATAAATATATATTCTAGATATACCTTTGAAACACTCTAAAACAGAAAGCTCCATATTAATCTACGAATATGTCCCACATTTGGTTATTTGTACATGTTTTCTTATGAATATAAAGTCAATACAAATTACGACTAATACAATACACCACGTGGAATTCAGTAAAATTTTCCTGAGGGATGTATTTCATTTGTGTTTTCTACAGAAAATTTAAAGGTATTGGATGTTAGTGATTACCAAAGCCACTAAATTGACCAGCGTGAGGGAATGCTTCACAATCAATGGTTCTCCGTTCAATCCATCTGGTGCAACTTCTGTCGGCACGTTTTTGATAACTGTCTGAAACAACGCTGTCGTGTCCTCACCTGTTCCCCATAATGCATCAGCTATGAACAGAAATGATTAAATATGTAATGTTTTAGTTGCCATTTTTGTCAGTCTTGCTTCGTGATAAGTTTCGTCTTTTCTCTCCATTTATGTGAAACAAATGTAATTATTTTGATCTAATTAAAAAAACGAGAAATCTGCTTTAAAAATTACTTATTTTCCCTATAAGTTTGAAACGATATAAGTTCAGCGGTGGCCTCTAGGGTCGAACTCACCTCGCGAAAATGTTACTCAAAAGTACGGTGTCCCGTTAGTTCCATCGCAACACACTTAACACGATGTGGACGGCTAAAGTACGATGGCAAGAACACGATTAATACCACTGTGGAATTGTTGTTTGACTTTTTACAATCGTAATTTCGTGTTTTTGTTGTTTTGAGTTATGGATATGTCGCGATGGCCCTCTCGGGGCACTGTATGAAAGTGATTTAGTTAAAACCTTGTCTCAAATTTAAACTTAAAACAACAATTTTAAGTAAAATATTAAGTTACTTGATAATGAATAAACACACAAACTTACTTGTGTAAAACTCCGAAAAAGAAACGAAAACAAACAGAATCCATACACATGTCCGGTAAGACATAGTTCACAACAGCTGCTAAATAATAAATGGTAAAAGTGGAAAGAAAATCCAAAATGAAATGATATATATTTTCCCAGGGATGCATATTTGCAGGTCCTTTTATTTCTGACAATTACGTTTATGTAATCATCAAAATTGATAAAAATTGCCGGAAATTGTTGTGCATTTATTTATGATTACATTCATGTCATACTATAGTCAGGTTTAGAAAAAAGAACGTGTCTCGTGTTTAACATTTCAAAAATTCTTATTCTCTTAGTTTGTACAAAATTCGGAGGTTGTTTAACTACAGCGGACTGGTCTACAATGGGCATGTTTTCCATACATTTAATATTGACAAAAAAAACAATAGAAATGTATCATTTGAAAAGTCTTGTTGCTTGATAAAGAATGTTGATAAAGTTTTAAGTGATTTTTAGTATGAACCTTTATATGATGAATAATAATATTTCATTTTATAACATTTTATTATCTGCTATATGAATACATAGTGTATATGTAATTATTGATTATGTATCTCACATAACAACATCCATGTGTAATTCTTATATAATAATATTTCAAACAATGCACGATAGACTGCCATAGAGCCGTTATCATAAATGTTCACATGTCAAGGCAAATATTCATGCATCATTCTATCGCATGATGCAGTGTCTCTATCCACAGAATAATAATTTAGTACAATGTACGTGTACCTTTTTTACAAAGTTACAGTACCTGTACATTGTATATCTTTCATTAAAAGTTTAACCCAAAGGAAAGTATTATAAAGTTATTTAAAATACAATCACAGAGGAATGAACGAGCGACAAAATATGTAATCACTATATTTGTACTGCAGACGATATAACCCACCCAAACAGTGGCTCTTTCACATTTGGATCATCTGTTTAAAGGCGAGCCCTCCACACCTCTGCTGTAGAGCGCTCGGTCAAAACAAAGCTGAAACAGGTAAACACAGTTTCTAAAAATATCCGTGTTTAAAAAAATGCTGGTTTTTCAAAAATCAAAGAATTCTATGCCACGTAGAACATATTCTCTTCATTTTGGATGCAATTTCGATACAAAATACATGTACCACAAAATGATTTTGCTAGAACTTATACCAAATAATAACTTGTATGTTATGTATTACGTTGAGACACATCTTGAGTGATTTCTTAGCCGTGAAGTAAATGTCTGACCTCTACAACGTCTGCTCTACAACGGAAGTTAGGAGGGCTCTCCTTTAAACAGATCACTCAAATGTGTTTCGAGAGTGCTTCAATAAGCTTATAGCTTTCAACACAATCGAACTAAAGTGGGGGTGTTACAGAGTGTAAGCAGACTGACATTACCTTGCTGACAATTTTGCCATGATACTGTTGATGAAAGACTGACATTATCACAGTAAATGCCCGGATATAAATACATGTACATGTAATTCAAAACAAGTCTCAATAAAACATAATACTTTATTACAAAAATACAATATTTCTGATTATTAAACTATGTGAAAAATCATATACAATACTGTTCCTTAAACATTCGCCATTTCATAAATATAATAATAATAATTCTTTATATCTATTTATCAATAAATAACTTTATGTCTGCAAAAGTTAAAGAATTCAAAAGAAAAATACCAGAAATATTTCTAAGAATAATAATAATAATAATAATGATAATAATAACATATATGTTAAAGAAGATAACACATGAAGATACACCATCGTCAAACACAAAATAACAAATCTTAATTCTAAATGTGGCCTTCTAAACAATATATAAAAACATAAACACAAAACAACATCATCAAACAATAATATACATGAAATGAATGTTTCATTTCTAAAACACTTGAGAAAACAAGATGAAAACAGATGAAGGAAAGAACAAATGAGAAAGAAATTAACTTAGAACATTATGGCTGTAAGTGTATTTTAGCAGAAGAAAGTATGACCAAATTGGTTGGTGATGTCATAATTGACGTAATCTACGGCGGAGTAAAGCATAAAAAAGGAAAAAGCGGGATTGGTATCAAAATGAAAAGTCCATGGTTTGAGCAGTTAGGTAGATGCAAGGAAATGGCTAGGAAGTCGCATTGAAATGCAAGCAGTGTAAGCATGGCTAGTATATGCACATTATACATACACACACACGCAAGTACGCTCATTTACACACACAATCACACACTGTCGCGCACACACACGCGCGCGCACGCACACGCGTCAGTTTATCAGTAAATATAAAAGACACAAGTTAGCTTTTATGAAAGTATGAAAGACAATGTTACCCTTGTACAAATATTTCAGACACGTACTCGTGCATATAGAAGAAAGACTTTGAGCAGCGGTTCAACAGAAATCTTGGTGTGGACTATACTAAAAATACAAACCAACCCTCCCCTTGAAATTCCAAACTTTGACAATGTTGTTTATTTTTTGAAAGAGTAACGATTTCCATGAAGAAATGTATTTTAATGAAGGCGCATATTCGACCAGTTTGCTTGATTTGTAAATAATGATTTGAAGCACAAGCAGACACTAAAATCGTCGCTCTCAACTGCTCAAAATCAAACAAATGCTTACATTTCATTTCGTTTGCTTGTAAATATAAAATTATATGTTACATAATAGAATTTCATATTATGAGCAACACAATACTTAAAGTCACAACTATAAGAGAGCACACAGTACGAGTCGCCGAGCTGATGTCACTGTCCTTGTGGTCATATGCGGCGCCTGAAAAAAGATAAAAAAAAGATGTGTTTTCTTTTTAAGTTCTCATTTCAAATACACACATAAATTAATAAAGCTTAAGTATAGGGAGTCGCTTAAAAAGACTTATAGGACAACCTCAAAACTATACATGTATATGCATTACAAATGAATGTTTCATTTTGTATATTAAGATTTATTACCCGCCATATCGCAAAAGGTCTAGTTTTCCGCTAGTGATATAAATGTGTTACGGGCTAGTCTTAAAGATTTACAGAAACAAAACACTGTCATACTTGGACACCATTTACACATGGAAGGGCACTGCTGTGGCACATTTGAATATCTTTCACAACTAGACACGCCCCACTGTTCTAGGCAATAGAATGGATCCTTGATGTCCGTACAGTTCACTGTTGGTAAGAAAAATAAAAAAGTAAACAACTGCATAATAAGATATGATAAATTTCACATAACGAAATGATTAGCATGGTAAGTTTAACATTTTTACCGGGCAAACTCGTTCATATTTAAAGGCAAAATTTAAAAAGATTGTCTAATAGCGAACAGTGCAGACCATGATCAGACGGCGTGTATTTGCATCGGTTACATATTGCTAGCAGTCTAAAATTTGAATAGATGTTTCAAGGACATGCAGTAAAATTTAAAAGGAAGTGCGAAAGATGTATATCGCTCAACCATGCGTTCTAATCCTACTGGAGTCACGAGCTTAATATAAGCCGTCACACCCAGAGTGGTCAGTACCTGGAAGTGACTCGAAAGTGATTACTATATTGCAAAAACTTGTTTTGAATCGAACATAAATGAAGACGTTTAAACACTATGCAGTGGCATTTTCTCTGTATTTATGGTGGAATAATGACTTTACACAACAATGACTTTACACAACAATGACTTTACAAAACAATGACTTTACACAGCAATGACTTTACAAACTACAAACAAATTGCACAAAAGCATAATTCGGCAAATATAACTTACAGCCGCAATATGGGGGCATAAAAAAATCCAGATTTTCTTTACATGTGCACTTGCATGTGTTTGGATCCATTTTCCCGCCATTTAAGCAGACGACATTTCCGCAATCTACAAATACAAGAGGAACAGTGCTTTATCCTTTTGTACAAATCAAAGTCTTCAAGTTTTTGTTTTGCTTTTTGTAAACAATATGAAAGACGACAAAAATACACAAAAATGGAGATGTAATTTGCGTTTATCATTATAAATAACCCTATTTGAAGGTCCATTACATATAAACAGCTACTGTAAACGCCGTTTAATGTTTAGAATATATTCTTTCAGAAACACTACTGGTGTATTCCAATAAGCACATCATTTCAATATTAACATTTAAACTTGAAAATAAATCTAAATAAATACAATTACGTCTTTTTCAATGTCTTTTATTTTTTTCACAATTATTGGTAAAATCTACATTGTATATTGAATATTTCATAATACATTTTTTTGATAAACAGCAATATAATTCTAAGCATATTTACGTTTTTTCACGGAAATTCAAGGAGTTATGATTCATGTAGATGCTATAACCTTACCACAGAGTCCATTCCTGCAGGTATTCGGACAGTCTGCACAAGTCCTCCCGGCCAAGTATGGTCTAACTCCATTGCTATTACCACTGAAGAATAATATATTGGCTTTTTATGACAATGATGTTACGTTCAATAATAATATGTAATGATGATAATAATAATGATGATAATGTTAATGATGATTATAATGATGTTGGTAACAATTATGATGGTGATTCTGATAACGAAGATAATAATAACAAAACAGATAATTTCCCCACCAACCATTCATTCGTCCGTTCATTCGTCTGTCCGCACTCACAAAACGATGTATATGTTGCTACGGGAACAGTAGGTAACTGTAAATTTACTTAATTGACTAAAATACCAATGAAGTTATCAAAATCTTTAACATGGCTATGAAAAGAATCCACTTAATTAGCTATATGTACGACTAGATACGTCTGTCCGTCAGCCCATACATTCAACCTTGATTTCTTTCATTCATTTGATTTTAATAGCATATCTTTTTTTATACAATGTAATGATAATGTATAATAAATTTTCTGTTAGATTACCCTGGGCCATAGTTACACACGTAGTAATGTGTTGTATCACAGACTGCAAAACCACAACCCACTGTTATACTGGTAGCCCATACCATCTGAAAATGTAATGTTTGTCATACGAAAATGATAGAAGCTAAATATCATTTTTAAACGCGTTCTTCATATTCAGAAGTGAAAAATGTACATATGTATATAAGATAAAAATGACTGTTCGTAGCTCAGCATGCACGTCATGTATAGGTAAAAATAGTTATGGTAAACCGAACCAGGCCTTTCAGAAAATCACTTTGCCTCTTTAAGCTGTTCTTATTTGCTACTTCCCTTTTAGAATGTGTTGTTTTTTTTCGTTACAATTGATAAAGAAACACTGTACACATTGCTTATGACATAAAAATTAATGTCATAATTCACAACGTGGTATGGCGTGTTTAAGCTGTATTCTATATTGTCAGTTCATAGAGCGTTTTAGTGACCATAGAGACCAAAGCACACTATTTCCGTACCTGAGTATAATGACCGATTGCCTTTCTGGTCGGGCTGTTGTTCGTTGCATAACTATAGTCATGTTTTTCGTCTGCCCATAGCTGTATAGCTTTTGACCAACCCATAGACCAAGAGCCCCATGCCAAATTTTGACCGACAGAGAATCTACCTGCAAAAGAACAAAAACAACCCTCCCGGTACAGTATGTTTCTTACAATTTTTTTTACCCATTTAACCCATAACCTGATGAATTTCTTAAATGGACTTGCCGAGCTTCCTGTTTTGGGTATGTCTATAATCAATCTTGGGATACCTAGTAAGTCAGCCAACCTTATAGAGTCTGGTCGGACTGCATACAAGTGTAGCTTGTCTAGCTCTATGCTGGTCGCAACAGCAAGTCACTTCCGGTTCCAGAAGGGAAACGGCTAATATCAATCATATTTTACTTCATAAAAATGATCAGCTTATATCACATATCTTCATATTTTCAGTTGATTTTGTCGATTTTTACAAATGACCGTTAATCTGACAGTCCCCACAGTCTGAATTGAAATAAGATTCATAATGAATGTTTTATTATGATTAAATTTTCAGCACTGTTTATAATACAACCAAAAGTGGTCCACTAAAGAAATAAATTCATATTTTATCAAACAATCTTACCAAATGCATATCTTTTATATCCTTTGTCGTGATCTATGACACAATTTTCTGCCCATCTTTGCGCCGTTCTAGCAATTTCGTCATCCCAATGCTATAATTCAAAGAAAAATAAAAAATCACAGTGTCTCTGATTTAACACTTTCTTATTTCATTTGGCATTTAAGATGCCTTTGGATTTAGTATTTAAGATTGTTCAGCAAACCAAAATAGTCATTGGTTATTTCGACTTCAATTATCTAACATTTTAGCTTCAAGCATGGTCATTGCCTTGACACGGCACCTCGGCTGCATAGGTTTGCACATTGCCTTGTCGGGCTAGTTTATGTGAACATTTGAGCAAAATTTAAGAAAATCTTTCAAAGGGTATGGAAATGGACATTGTGGAGATGGATGACCAACCGGACGCGACAAAGTGATTTCAGTATAACCCCCTCTATATTATGTGATTGGGGTAAATTAACATGCCAAGCAACTTCTTTTATCAGAATCTGATATCTTATATGTGTGGCAAGGTATGAGAAGCTCTTTGGGAAGTTGACTACGCCGTATGGCTTTTCCAAACTGCCCGTTAATTAGAAAATGAATCAGAATTTATGACAAATACAATTCGTGGCGTGAATTACCATTAACATCATGTTTGAGGCCGTGGGAGACACTTCCCTCCTCACAGTGTTGTGTATATCTACAATTATTTTCTTTTCGTTTTCACTCACGCCTGAAATAAAAAAGATTCGTAAAGAGATGTAAAGAGATTTATAATGAAAACATTTTCTAAACTGTTAAACATACATATAGGTTTAAACATTCATATGATCTATTACGTAAATGGTAGACTAAAATAAGTGTGTATGACTTGACATAATATTTAGCTGTTGGTTGTTAGTGCATTGCGAATGTTAAAGGCGAATAAGTCGGGGTTTTTTTGTTTTTTTGTGTGTGTGTGTGTTTTGGACAATTCGTTCCCGTGAATGCGGTCCATAAGGTCATGTGAGTTTTATTGTTGTATTGTTGTACCTGATAAAGTCAAAATCATTGCTCTATTAAGGTTATATCTGATGTCCTCATAGGAGTTATTGCTCGCATGCATGCTGAGAAAATTGTCGTCTGCTAAAAACATCGTTTGCGTTACTTTTTCAATTTTATCTAATTTTCTCAAAATGAAAAACGTAAATGTTACTTTGAGATTAAGTTTTATGTCAAAGCGACACTAGAACAACTTTCCAGCTTTCTTGCTGGAGGAAGACCTCAGTCGCTCATCCGTGCAGTATAGAACCACCGACCTTCTGGGGACTTTTTGTCTGATCCATGTTGTTTGCAAGGGCTTCAGTGATAGATTAAAATAAGTGTTGAAATGTGTTTACCTGCACCTTCCGATACAAATTTACGTGATGGCGGTAGACATGCTGTATGTCCAGGGGTGATAACTCGATACTTCTCCTCGCAGCTTATCTGCAATATAGATCACGTAACAGTTACTGCCCCTTCCTCACTTGTTAAATTTATAAATTTAACGTATGACTTTTATGGAATATATTTTCGCCTGCAGCTAATATTATGGAAGCACGGATAAATAATAGAAATAAAACCAGAACGACAATTCTTTTCACATCAGTATTGAAGTTTTGAATGTTTTACAGAAATCCTATAGTACCTGTCTTTTCCGTCTAAAATGGCTCGTGTAAGCATTTTCATCTATAGTTCTTGCCTGGAATGTTTCTGTGAATATAAAACAAACAAAATGAATCAAAATAAGTTTTTTAAAATAACAAATGATTTTCTCAATTTTGATCACGTGCTTAATTGCGTCAATTCCTGTAAGACTAAATATTAAACTACTGTAAAGGGAGGTAAAAAAACAAAAGAAACATTTTATACCGATCAATTAATGTTCTTTATCAATGCGAAATCATTTATTATAAAACTTTAATATCCTGGTTGATCCTAAGCATAAGCGATCATAACCTTTGGTTTCAGCTTTAAGGCTTTTTACGATCATATAGAAAATAACTGTAGACAGGTTTTCTATCAGTTTCATCATTGAATGTGTCACTGTTATCAGTGTGTTGGTAGTTTCCTTGATTTTTTTTACATGTAAAATAAAGTAAACGAATGATAAATGTGGGTGTGAACGAAATACTGGCTTAAAATCTGGGTTTGGCACGTTAATCTCATGCAATAAGTGACTGGAAAATGTCTGTTTTATAAAACAAAATTCATGCAAATGGAAAAATCACATTAATTTTATGTATGTTTTGTCCAATTTATTCTAGGGATGGACGGATACGGTGGATAGGATTTTTAGTTTTAGAAGATAAGATAAGCTACTCTACAATTAGCAGATTTATGTTAAATAAATTACCCTGTAAATATCATCCGTTAATCCAAAATAACACCAAGAGATTTACCTCACAGTGGCACATTAATTCAAATATATGGATTTCTAAGACTGGTCTAATTATATAACGATACATTTTGTAATAATTTTTATATGATAAAATATGTTTTTTTGTCCGATTAATGTTCTTTAAAATTAGCAAACTACACCTAGAAAAATGACGTGAGTGTCCTGTTCAACTATCTAATTTTATTAAAACGCCTGAAATTGAGCATGTCTCGTTAAAATTATTGAAAAAAACACACTTTTTTTTTGTTAAAAGTTGTAACACTCAGCGTTACTTTTTTTAAAGTTTGATACGTCTCTTACAAATAGTTGATTGATTAATTGATTGATTGATTGATTGATTGGTTGTATGGTTGTTTGATTGGTTTTTGAGTCACACTGACACAGTCAATGTCATATGGCACATTCCGGCTGCATCGGTCGAGGAAGACCTCCGTGCATTATTTCAGAGGGCACCTAAATCGAATCACCGACATTCCGTTACCTACTAGGATAACTTCCTCACATGAAAGGATCCAAAGACCCTAGCGGGATTCAAATCCACAGTGTTGAAATGCGAGTGGTTTGAAGTCAACGACCGTAACCACTCTACTCCGGACCTTCATTTTTTTTGGTTGGGTCGTCAGAACAAACAAGTAATGGTAGCGAAATTCCAGAGCCTAATGCTGTTAATTGCAAATGCCTTAAGTAGTCCACTTTTTTGAAGCGGTTACTTCCCTTTATATGTACACTAACGCCGAAAAATTCAGGGGAGATCAATTCTAGAGAGATTGTCAAATGACAGGCGCATTAATTTTCAAGCAAAGTAGTTCCCAAATGGTCGAAGATTTCTAATATTGTTTCATTCTTTATAGATATACATGCTTATAGTAAGCTCCGTGATTATTGGCGTCCGCGCCGAAGCGCGGCGCCCTTTATGGAATGAAATGGGCGACAGCAACTTCTCGAGCCTTTAGTCGGTCATAATAAAAGCCGATCATTCCGATCGGTATGAGGGTGCTTGATTATTATTAATTAAAAATGAAATGTCGCGATATGTACAATGAATATCGAACTTGGAGAATTTCGCAATGCAAACATTTTCAAATGAAATAACCTTCTCCGTCTCTTCCGGTTTTTTTATTTATCATTTTGTAGTACACAGTGGGTTATTATGGTATGTTAAAATAGAATGATGAGTTGATGACCTAAATTTTACATTCCGAAAATCTATTTATAGAGGGATGTACTCCTATCGGTAATTCCCGGTCTCTACCGGTCTATTTTGACCGGGATTTACTAGTGACCGGCGAATAGTATCACACGTTTATTGTCCAGTCTCTCCCGGTTTTGGAGTAGATGTTTGATATCGTTACAGAACAGAACAAATATTTTACAGATAAATAAGCTTTTTTTCCAAAATGAATGTTTGTCACTTAGTTTGGTTACAATAATTAATAAACATAGATCAACTCTCAAATTTATTGATTATTATGATTCATAAACATACAATTCGAAAAAAAAAACAACAAAAAAACAATAATAGCATGTTTCATTTTATCTTTATGAGATAAAAACAATAAATATGTACAATAATTGAGAAAAAGGTGCATGTTTATGGCATTAATATGACACTATCAACTTTGAAATATTTATTTAATTTGTTATTCGTGTTTAGTAAAGATGCCGAGGAATTATTCAAAGTTACAAATTAGATTTTATGAATTATCTAATTGATTTATAATTTAAAAAATGATAATTAAAAGAAAATTACAAATATACATCTACATGGTTTAAGAATAAACAATATCATATATTGAAAGAGTTACCCTAATTTACTGATTTTTCCAGTTAAGTTTTGACTTTTAATCGTCGGTCGGTATGACAATAACAAGTAATATTTTAATCTCTAACATGCCAATCAAAGTTCATAATGAACAATATCTTTCGTCCGTTCATTCTGGTAAAAACCAATTAACCATTGAAAAGTTTATAAGAATATCTTGTCATCATATAATTAGTTCATCTTCACTTTCTGCATTTCTTGCTTGGACGCCCTTTGATGCTTTGCATCAATGCTTTTCTTGATTACATCTGTGTTTAGCGTCGAAATAATAAGAGTTACAAACCCTAATTTAGAATAATATGGTTTTCTTCAGGCCGTTAACATATAACTTCACCGTGGCCGAGAGGTATGCACGCTCGCTTACGAATCGAGAGGTCTCGAGTTCAAGTCCCAGATTAGGCAACTCATTTTTTTTTTTTTTAAATTAGGTCAAATAAACATTGAATTGACTATCAGTATTGCAATTAGTCTTATAGCCAATTTACTACAATAAAAACATTGGAAAGCATTGGTGGCACTATACAAATACAAATTGGTTTATAATCTCACAACCTTCACAACCTTCACCTTTCTGACATTCTGAGACCCAAACAAATTCAGCGCCTTCTGTGCTTTGATTTAATATGCATTGTGTGGCATCTTTTGAAGTTACATGTATAATTAATTATACACAATTCAGAAAATCAACAATATAATTTTTTTTCAACGCCCGATTCTACTGCAAAAGAATTAAACATGTTCCAACTCCATCAAAGTAACATAAACTACACTTTTTCTGCCATGATAAACTGTAGTCGTTATCTTTTTTTCAAGAGATTGACAGTAAAGAGAAATGCTACTCTTTCTCGGTTATTTTATGGTCATTAATCGGCCAGTATACTTACTGATTGAATGATTTGTATATACAATATCAATGAAACACCATTCGTTACACCGAACATTTTCGATGGAGCCAAATTCTTCACCGGTCAAAGATATCCGTGTCTGAAGATTTTATAAACATTATCCAGGTATTTTCTATATTATTTCAGAAAGAAAGATAAAATAAATCAATTAGGAAGAAAAAGATACATACAAACAACCTTGATGAATTCGGAAAACTAAATATACAACGTAAAATTGGGAAGATCTTTGCCTTGGGAAACCGTGTCAATATGTTAACACCGTTCCAAGTATTAACAAAGTATATACAAATGTACTTAAGACTTTTTACGTATATTTTTGTTTGTTTTTCAATTATTATTTTTTCGTTTAAATGTCATTAGTGTTTGAAATTATTTTTCTCCAACATGAATGAATCGTAACACATTTACTTTGGTAAATCGGCGAACTGTAATCAGTCTAGTAAATTGACTGTTTATAAAAAATAATTGAAAACACTAAGCCGGTTAAAATTTATAAGTACTTATTTACAAAATTAAATTGGTCGCGCGACCAATTTTATTTTGTTAATACGTACTAATAAACTTTAACTTATACTTAAAATGAAACCTTTGTCTCATAATATGTATATTTTTTGTATATTGTATTACACTCTTGCAGCGGTTGGTCCGTCGCAGAAGCGTTGGAAAAAATGGCCTTTGAGTAATGAATTTGCTGCTGTCGATAAATTTCGGACTGCATTTTACTTTATGTTTTAATGTTTTACTGGAAACACCTAGTAATGGTGCAGTCACACTATAGCGTATGGCATTAACGGATGGGAGCGTACGATAAAAAATTGCCCATACGCTTGCATACGCAGATATACGTTAGCGGTATGTTAAGCATACGTCGTGTACGTTCTAAGCACGCTGTCATACGCCAGTTTTCGTTCTTATACGTAGAGGCCAATTGATACGCTAGCGTGACGCTAAAGGTTTGTTACTCATATGTCAAATACGCAACCCATACGCTAGCATAAGTGGTCCTTTGAGCTGTAAACATATATAGGGTCGAATTTCTTCATCTTCGTCAGATGTAGATCGACAAAGACGATGGAGGTAGCTCTTCTTCAACGCTATAATGAACTCATAAATTTAACAATCTATTATGTTCAATGAATTAGAAGACAAAGGCGACAGGAGGCTTCTGACACTGCATACGAAGCAGATGAATCACTTGAGCGTTTATTACGAGGAGGAGGTGATCTGGGCCTGGAGTGAACACTTCCTTAAGTAGGTATATTAGACGGTGTTTCATCAGAGGGGGTCGGCAGGACCTTCTTTACTTTTTTGACTTTTATCTTGATACGGACCAGAGATCTTTCTGCAGGCATCTTTACTCCTCGAAATCTGTTTGAAAAAGGAGCCAGGACAGTCCAGTCAAACGAGGGCGCAGCGCATTCGCTACTCAAACTTTACTACTAAGCTCAAAAACGTTATGCAAACGATTATCATGCATACGCTACCCATACGGGGATAAACGCTACACTGACAGTGAGTTTAGCTGACATACGCTCATACACGTACGCAAAAGTTTCTCATACGTGCGCATGTACGCCGGTTGCTC